CCCCCCAAATGAGGGAAGGAATTGATTCACTCGACGCATTATCCTCTCTCACGTATCTCCCTCTTATCCCTCTTCTTTCTCTCCCCCCCCCCCCCAAATGAGGGAAGGAATTGATTCACTCGACGCATTATCCTCTCTCACGTACTATTTCGCTCTTATCCCTCTTCTTTCTTCACCCCCCAAATGAGGGAAGGAATTGATTCACTCGACGCATTACCCTCTCTCACGTATTTCCCTCTTATCCCTCTTCTTTCTTCACCCCCCCCCCCCTCCCCAAATAAGGGAAGGAATTGATTCACTCGACGCATTACCCTCTCTCACGTATTTCCCTCTTATCCCTCTTCTTTCTTCACCCCCCCCCCCCCCCCCCTCCCCAAATAAGGGAAGGAATTGATTCACTCGACGCATTACCCTCTCTCACGTATTTCCCTCTTATCCCTCTTCTTTCTTCACCCCCCCCTCCAAATGAGGGAAGGAATTGATTCACTCGACGCATTACCCTCTCTCACGTATTTCCCTCTTATCCCTCTTCTTTCTTCACCCCCCCCCCCCAAATGAGGGAAGGAATTGATTCACTCGACGCATTATCCTCTCTCACGTATCTCCCTCTTATCCCTCTTCTTTCTCTCCCCCCCCCCCCCAAATGAGGGAAGGAATTGATTCACTCGACGCATTATCCTCTCTCACGTACTATTTCGCTCTTATCCCTCTTCTTTCTTCACCCCCCAAATGAGGGAAGGAATTGATTCACTCGACGTATTACCCTCTCTCACGTATTTCCCTCTTATCCCTCTTCTTTCTTCACCCCCCAAATGAGGGAAGGAATTGATTCACTCGACGCATTATCCTCTCTCACGTATCTCCCTCTTATCCCTCTTCTTTCTCTCCCCCCCCCCCAAATGAGGGAAGGAATTGATTCACTCGACGCATTATCCTCTCTCACGTACTATTTCGCTCTTATCCCTCTTCTTTCTTCACCCCCCAAATGAGGGAAGGAATTGATTCACTCGACGCATTACCCTCTCTCACGTATTTCCCTCTTATCCCTCTTCTTTCTTCACCCCCCCCCCCCCAAATGAGGGAAGGAATTGATTCACTCGACGCATTATCCTCTCTCACGTATCTCCCTCTTATCCCTCTTCTTTCTCTCCCCCCCCCCCCCAAATGAGGGAAGGAATTGATTCACTCGACGCATTATCCTCTCTCACGTACTATTTCGCTCTTATCCCTCTTCTTTCTTCACCCCCCAAATGAGGGAAGGAATTGATTCACTCGACGCATTACCCTCTCTCACGTATTTCCCTCTTATCCCTCTTCTTTCTTCACCTTTCACACTTATTTCCCTCTTATCCTTCTTCTTTCTTCAGCCCCCTCTTCTCTCCTTTCTCAACAACGCTTAACAACGTGTATAGATGCATGCTTCCTTTGTTTAAATTCTATTGTTAACTAATTCGGGAATTTAAAAAAGATTCGGGAAATTCAACGTCTCGTTTTAAATTGATAGAACGCCGTTATATTCCTTGAATATATGCATTGTTTTCTTAACATTTCTTGTGTTCGAGACCAAAAACAGTTGGACTGGGATCTCCAATAACACCGGACTTTTTCCTTTAAGCGCCGTAGGCGAAATTTTTGAGGGAATGGATGCATCAAGAAGTCGAACGATTTCAAAGGATTATTGTTGGATTGATGGGATAAAAGTCGATAAGATTATTTTTTTCATTAGCACATTTATGTTTAGCAGATATTGGTATTCAGATCAAAGGTTGCTCCTTTGAGTGCAACTGTATAAAATTTTCAGAATATTGGCAAAACCAATAAGCCAGATTTCTTTTTTTTCTGCGCCGTAGGCAAAAATTTTGGGAATTTGGATTTGGCAAAAAATACCACAATGCGATGGAGTCATGCACCCTGAAACTGCTGATTAGTTGAATTGCGTTGACTTTTCTTGGGAAAATTTCATCTAGATTTAATTTTTATTAATGAAATTCGTTATTTTTTAAGTAATATAATTATTTTAAGAAAAAGTTTTTACATTTTGTTGTCAGAAATTTTAAGCAATATTCGAGGATGGAGCTGCAATTTAAAAAAATTCGTATCAATTTTCAAATCGGGATCTCGATCCTTCAAGTCAGAGAATATAGAGGAATTGGCCAAAAATCTCTTTCTCTGCTCTATCTTAGAAAAATGACAATTGAAACGTTGGCAATCTCTGATTGGTGGGCATTATATGTAAACGTCTACATATTAGAGGTCCTCACATGGGAAGATAGAGAGTTAGAAGGGGAGGAGTTTCAGACAAATCCTCGTAATTTTTTACTCTCCATTCTTCAACTCCTCCCATATTTAGCTATGTTTTTAAGTCAGTCAAAATCTCCTTTAAACTCGCATTCATTTTAAATTTAATTAACCACTTTAATTTGCTATCCAAATTGTTTGCCTTTAAGTTTTACTCAAATTAACATGTTTAAATTATAAATTACCTAATATTATCTAGCCTTTATCAGAGGGGAAATAGGGTAGATGTTATATACATAATATTAGTTTTAACTGTTCCCAAGGCCAAATAATATAAAATCTCTCAAACAAACTTGAATCTTGTTGACAAAATTTTTTGTCAATACACATCCTATCCTATCCCTCTGTTGTGTATGGAAGGATGTGGATTGTGACAAAAGTGTGGGATGTAGATTATATGGGAGGAATGTCGACTGTAACTCTAAAGTTTCTTTGTGCGGGCTTCACTGCCACTTTTACCGTCGGGGAACACCCACACATTTTATAGAATTTCATAATCAGCTTTGCTTTTCGGCTTGGTTATGTCTTTAATGAAGTAAAATATTTTAATTTTTATCCAGAAGAACAATGATTCTTCTTTCAATTCTATTTCAATTTGGCATAGCCTGGTTGCTTCTAACGGATTTAAATGGAATGAAATCTGGTAGTAGTAACACTATTACCAAAGAAATGGGAAAGAAAAGAGCTTTGGTTATTGCTCCCAACTTTCTTGAAGTTCATTTTAAAATGCTCAGTGTCTTCGCCAATGTGCTGACCGAAAAGTTTAATGTGGTGGGTGTTAGAAATATTATATTCTGATTTTAAAATTTTACTTGAACATTTTATTTATAAAATCTCTGCTTTCATAAAATATTCCAATTTTTATATTTTATTTCCAAATTTTTAAATCCTTCCGTTAAAATATTATTTAACTAGGATCAGAGGCGGGAGAGCAAAGGGGTTCGGGTTTTAATTAAAAAATATTTTAAAAAATGCCCAAAGGTGTTGCTCTTATAACATTATAGACATAAAAAATAAATTTAACGTCAAAATATTTTTATGATTAATTTGTTGTCAGCTAATGACAACTTTAATATTATATAATTTTATTAACTTTGTTTTTAAAAATAAATTTATAATAATAATTTAAAAAGCTTTAAATATTAAGCACTTTCTAATTCTGAACACCAAAAATGAAAAAGTTGGAAAAAATTTCAATTGTGGAATTGATACTAAAAATTTTACACATGGAGACGGAAGAAATAAAGAAGGCGGAAATACATATCAAATTATGAGTATTTCAGCTGATTATCCCAAAAAATTGGACGAAGGCGTAAATAGTCTTGAGAATAAATTCTTAAAGAGAGGATTTGAACAGAACAGTCAAATTCTCACAAATGAAGCCTACACCGTGTTTGAAGGTTAAAATTCCTTTCCTCAAGGCAATCATGAAATGAAACGTTTGGTCCATGCTTTCTTGGAGTCTATTCAAACTTTCTTTTTAATTACTCATCCCTCTGAAGAACTTGTTAAATTTCTGATTTTTGTCTTTCTTTGATGGGCCTTGAAAAAAGTTTAACTCATCCTCCAGCTCCGGGTATTTTAACATCTTGACTCCAGCTCAGCTTATTCCTATCTGATTCGTGTAGCCATAACCAATACTGTTAAAGACTAATTTAAATATTTAAGATTTGTTTAAAGAAAAAAAACATCTTATTTATGACCTGCAGGATGCAGAGTTCGATTTGGGATTTTTTGACACTTGGGACACAGGAGCTCTCTTTATTTTCCATGAAGCAGGAATTAAAAATGTTTTTGGCATTAACAACACCCAACTTAATGCTTACCAATTTAAATATGCTGGGAAGGACTTTCCAAAAAATGTCCCAGGTTTTTATATAGGATATGACAAAATATTAGCCTGGTAATTTCAGAAATTTATTCGGCACGAATAGGCGATAATGAATTATTTAATCCGAATGTTTTGACTAAATCTCTAAGCTAAATGTCCATAGACTCTTCAGATATATCAGTTAATACCTCCGAAATCGTTGGATTTCCTTCTATTTCCGCTTTACGATTTTCGAAGATTTTTCGGTTTCGAAACAGCTCTGGTCATTAAATGAATAGATAATATATAAATTTTACAGGACGACTGGTTTAAACAAAGAAATCAACAAAACCAATCAACAACAAAAAGCCAACAAACCCCACCAACAACACAAGGCCTTTATTCTAAGATTAAAGGAATATTCCTTAACGGGCATGAATTGTTTGATTTTCCTTTAGGTGGAAACAAACCTGAAAATGTTTTTTATGTTGGTGGGATTCATTTGAAAGAATCTAACGATAAAAAGGCAAGAGTTTTTTAAACATTTAAATAAATAGAGTTGTCGGTTTCCACAAATTTTCGGGTAAACGAAACCGAATGACAAACCGGCCCGAAACTTTTAATTGAACCGAGAAACCGAACAGAAAATCCTGAATTTTCTAATTATGTTTGAAATAAATAATAAACAAAATGTTAGTGTGACAAAATTCATTGTAAGGGAGAATAAATAGAGAACAATAGGAAAAACCCTAATTTAGAACACAACAACCATTTAACCAAGTTTATTGTTAGATTATTTTTTACTCTTTAATGCTCTTTCTGGAAGTACGGACATAATACTTAAATATTTTTATTTTCAAAGGAACCGGAGAGTTCAAACAAACAAGTTATTATGAGCATTGAATATTGCAGACAGATTGCTCAACCAGAAACCATAAAAATTTTGGAAAAATTCGTGGCGGCTATTAAGAATGTGTCAGATTCGAAAAAAATGAATTTAACATTTATTTATGATTGTAAAGCAGGAGGAGTTGATTTGGAAAAATTAGAAGAAGTAATGATTGATGTAAAACATGAAATTAAAAAAATTCCGGACATGCAAGAGGAATTGGGTAATTTTAAATTTGTTATAATAATTTTAGATATTTCTACTTTTCAGCAAAGGGTAACACAATCCTTTTAATCACCAACAGCAGTGGATACCAAGTATTAGAAGCATTTTATGAAAATGTTCCAATATTATCTCTGCCTTATATGGTAGATCAATTTTATGTTGCTGAAGCCTTGAAAATACCTCATGAAATAGAAATTGAGAATTCCGCTAATGGTGAAAAGCCGATTAGCGGAGGAGATCCCAAACATGGGCAGAAAATGGACGGAAATGGACGAAGCAAATCCCCTGTTCGTGGAAGGTCCCCTGCTCAATCAGGAAATGGACGAAGCAAATCCCCTGTTCGTGGAAGGTCCCCTGCTCAATCAGGAAATGGACGAAGCAAATCCCCTGTTCGTGGAAGGTCCCCTGCTCGAGGAAGGTCCCCCGCTAAAGGCAGTTCTCATGCTAGACCTTCAAGTTTGGACAAACATGGCGAGAATCATCACTTAGTTGTTAAACAAGAAGTGGTTAGACTTTCTCCAACATTAAGCTTCAACAATATGTCAAAGAATATTGAAAAGATTGGAGATAATGAGGGTATTGAAGACATTGCAGATATTGAAGCGGTATTGGAAGAGCTGTTGGATAACGAGTAATTAATTTGAATATAAATATTAAATTTGAGAATAATATTGAAATTTAATTTCGATTATTTATTTTATGCTTACAAAAGCCAGCAGGCTTTATCCAAAAGTCAAATTATTTATAATAAGAAATTATTTTTTTTAAAAATATAAAATTTTTATTTCAGTCACAAGGAAAAGGTTAACAATGTTCATAAATATTTACGCCAGACATTGAAAAAGAACAATCCAAAGAATATTTTCCTCGCTAAAGTAGAAGAAGCTCTTCGCAATTCTAATGGAGAAAATGAACAGGAGTGAAAAGTACTGGATTGAACAAGAGTGAAAAGTAAATTGTAAAAATGTAAATATTTTTATTTATCGAGTAACATACCATACATACCAAAATGTAACATACCAAAATGTTTTACTCAAAATCCTTTCAGGTTCGGGGTTGATTATATGTTTTTCATTACCCCGTTTTTATTCACAAATTTCGGCATTTTTTCATTGTAAAAATTTTTAAAGTCCACATTTATGTACAGTAAGAGGAAGGTAAATGTTTACTATAGCGATACAGCTTCATTGCTGGTTTCACTCTTTTAATAGAGCGAAAGCAGTTCCTAAGTTCCTAAACGCCGCTTAGTATTGAATGCTTTATCTACCTCTTACTCACTGTATGTCACAAAAACTGTAGAAACCTTCTACATATATCTAATGTACCGATGAGCTATGAATTCGATTTGAAGTGTTATGAGAATATAACTCAAACTGTTAAAATTCCTATAACTCTTGGGTCTATAACTTTGAGACATCAAAAATTTATAAATTGAATATTCAACATATCTTCGATGTACAGCCATTATTTGAAAATTAATTTCTTTTAGAAAAATCATAGATCTACGGTACATCTGGTATAAACCAAGATTTTAACTTGAAACAAGTAAATACCCCAATGTATTTTATTTATTTTTTTCGTACCATGTAATTTTTTATTTATTATATATTTTTAACTTTATTTTTTAATTCTGTAGTTTATCGATAAATTTGTAGAGGAAAATTGTTTTATTGGTCGCCACGGCGACCATAGCCAACTTTAAGACTTTGTGGATGGGTAAAAACAAAATGTCATAACTTTGTCAAATCAAGTCAGATTTGTTGATTTTGGTGTCATTCGACTCGGCTCGACGAGCTCTTTCGAATGAGGTATAATCCGCATATTCGAATTTTTTACCCCAGAAATGTGCTTACTTGATTAAGATTTTTGGCTTCTTGGCCTTCCAAAATTTTCGCTCGGCAGTAAAAGAGAGAAGAAAAAAGTTGAAAAGTTCCGTTCAATTTTGAGAATTTTTGCGGAATAATAAGTGACCAGATACTCGGTACTTATTCCGCCCCCCTCCTCCCAGTCCGCTTCTTACTTTTTGTACGGAATGGTCTGTATTTTCTTCCTTGCATACTAATTTTTGAAAATTTCCCTGTAGTCATATTCACTCACCCTACCTTCAATTCAGGCAATTTTTTTGTTTATGATTGCTCGCCTCATACATTTTGCCCTTGTTACTTGTAAATAACTGAATAAATCGATGTTATTCTTTATATTTAAAGACGGATACAAATGAAAAGTAAATTATTGAAGGAAGAGTAAGTGGATGACCAAATACTCTAAGTTCTGTGCGTGTCGGTCTAACTTAAGGAACAGACAAGCCAAGGAACGACAAATCAATGTCGGACAATTCAAGTTTTTAGCAAATCACGGAACGACCAAATCATGAGACTTCTGTCATTTTTAAAAACAGAATATTTTTGTAAATCAAAATTTAAAAATTCTGATTTTCAACAATATTTTGCAGACAAAATTGAAAATTCAGAATGTTCCCTGAATTGGACGTTCCGAAAGTTGTTAAGACTGTGACTGTCGTTCCGTGACTTGTTTTCGTGGCCGTGTAAAATCAGAGTTTTTCATATATGTATTAAGATTGGCGGATAGTTGGAAATCTTCGGATAATCCGACCCGAAAATTTCCGGATATTCGGCTATTTTTCGGATCCGGATCCGCCAACCTTAATATGTATGAATTCAATTTAAGGATAAATGTCTTCTAACACATTCCTTTGCATCATTTGTTCTGAAACTTTGACTCGTAATAATATATACTCAATCCCTTGTGGTCATGTGTTTCACAAGGAGTGTATATTTTAGATATTTTTTAGTAAAATTTAACATTGATTTAACATAATTTTTCAGTTATATATTAAACGTATTGAAACTAAGAACGTAGTTGTGCTTGAAAATGTTAAAAATTCTGATACTATCAAAGTTCTTATGTGTATGGTGGAATTGAAGACGGGAATTCCAGTTGATGAACAACGTTTGGTTTGTAAAGATCGAGATATTGACTAAATTAAATTTTAGATTTATGATGGTAAGCAACTTGAGCGTGATCATAAAATTTCTGATTGTGGTATCAAAAATGGCTCATTTCTTCACTTAGTTTTGCGTCTGAAAGGATGTTGATTTTATGATTTTTTGCGGCCAATTTGATAAAAAAATTTAATTTTAAAAATATTGCTGGTTTTTTGAATATTGAATGTTTTAACTTTAAAATTTTCATTTTTTATTGATAAATTGTTTGGGCTGTTAGAATTTTTCTCTTTGTTCAAGTGTCTAAAGATTTTCTAAAAATCGACGATCCTAAGATTTTGAGCAAATATTTCTTGGAATACTTAATTTTTTATTTGGCTTTCAAATAATATTTAATAAAAATAGGTAAGTGCCTGAATGTTAACGAAGGACCCTTAATAGATCTCGGTTTGGTTCATTGGAAGAGACATTCAAAAATGTCTGATTATTGTACCTATTATTTGCCTTCTAACAAATAAGAGAAAATTGACCTAAAAAGTTTATTTAATATTTAAAATAGGATTTTTCTTTTTGAATTATTTTTTGCCTCCTTTAGCTTGAATGAGGATAGTGAATGATTTTCTCAAAAATTTTTTTAATATTGTCTGAAGCAATATTTTTAAGGTTTTGGTAATTCCTTCAATCTTCTATCGTTTCCTACGAAGTATGAGTATAATTTTGGTTTTTATTTAAAGATTTGCTTCCATTTCCATCTTGTTTTTCCATCCTAATTTTTGTCCACATAACTTAACTTTTACTTAAAATGTTTGTTGAAAATAAATGCTCGACAATAAAAGAAAAATTAATCTGAACTCAAATTGGGGCGGGGCAGGATATTAATAAAGTACCCGTTTTCCGGAAAAAGAGGAAAATTTTTACTCATATTTTTTCTGTCATCAGCGTAAAGGAAAAATAAAATCACGCTCTAAATAAGTTATTAAAACAAATTTTTGCTCTAAAATTTTCTTAGGCTAATTTGAATGAAAAAACCTCGTGTCTGCTTAAAGCCATAGGATTTATTGCTTGTTGGCCTTTCTGAACCCAATCGTATTATTTTACTCACTTTTTTCTGACTTCTTAACATACTTCGGATTATTTTTACAATCTGTATATATTTCTTTTTCTCATTTTCGTTCCATTCTTCATTAAACATGTCATCAAATATTCTTTCCCTCAAATTAAGGCATTGATTTCCAATGTTTTTATTTAGTATCTGTTTTTTGTTATAGACTATATACAAGAACATACCAAAAAGGGGATATAATAAATACATGATATACAAACAGAATTTAACGAAACTACAATTTAGGGTCAAAAATGTCCAAAATGTCTTTTTACCTCAATCTTAGGCAAACCCTAATTTTCGTGCCTATTTTATTTGTCTAAAATCAAAGATACCGTATTTACTCGATTAATTCCCCTGGGGAATTATTTTTTCAACCCAACCGTGGCATGGGCAATTAATAGAGGGTGGTGAATTTTTAGAGGGAAGGGAATTAATCGAGTAAATAAGGTTATAAGAATTCAACCAATTTCAGATACCCAAAATGTCTTCCACCACATTCATTTGTATTATCTGTTCCGAACCTTTGACTTCTGATAATATGTTTTCAATTTCATGTGGTCATGTTTTTCATGAAGATTGTATGACTCAAATAATCTCTCAAGTAGAAAAATTTAATTAAAATTTTAAATTTATTTTTTGTTTTGAAGAAAAAGTATTGCCCTCAATGTCAAAAAGTTGCAACATTAAAAGATGTTCGGCAATTACATTTACAACCTTTAGACAATATGCAGACTAAATCTGAATCAAATAAAATTAAAGTAAGTTGGAAGATTTAGAACAATTTTTGGGATTAATTGGCTTTATATTAAAATTTAAGAACTGAGGAATATTCTTTTAATTAACAAATTCCCCCCTCATCACCCCCAAATACATATTTTATATGTATCTATCTAAATTCCCGATCCATCAGAATTCCATTATATCCCAATCTATCGGTATCTACATATATCTTCTATCCCTGGATATACTTCTTAATTACGAAACAAACCCTGATCTTCACTAATCCCTCCAATACCCTTCTTTTACTTTTTTATCTTATTGAAATAGAGTAAATCAACAGTGCCACGATTTGATAAACAATCCTAAAAATTGAAGGCGGGGACTTTTCTCGATCGACATCTTTGTTTTTTTTCTTTCATACAATTTATTTCGTATAGTTTTACTAAGTTTTTAAGTAGGAAAATTTTAAAACAAAGTTTAATTTATACGTATCAAAGATAATCTTGGGGGGAGGGACTATTTTAGAGTGAGTCTACATATTTAAGAGTGAAATATTTTGTTACAATTAATCTTTTAATTATGCTATTTCAGTTAAATGTTATAGATTTGATTAATCACAAATTTGTTCTCGAAAATGTTAAAAGTTGTGATACAATTAGTCTCATTAAGTGTATGATTGAAATGAAAAGTGGAATACCTCCGGATCAACAACGTTTGGTTTGTAAATAAAATTCGGAAAATATTTAGAATTATCATTAAATTTATAAATTATAGCATAATATAAAAAATAAAGAGATGAATCGATCGGTACCAAAATTGAGTTTTAGCTATATCAGTAACAAAAGTAGTTCATGTGTGGGGAACCAGATACCTAAAAAACAAATGTTTATACAGATACAATAATCGTTTCATGACTTCGGCCACTAGGTCCTAAGAAGTATTCGGTACTTATTTCCTCCCCCCAGTCCGCAATTTAGTTGATTACAATAATTTTTAGATTTATATTGGTACGCAACTCAAAGATGACCGTACAATTGCTTACTATGATATCGAGGATGGGGCAACTATTCACCTTATTTTACATTTGCTAGGCTGTTGATTTTGTTTTTGACAGAAGATGTAAAGAATTGGTAAAAAATATAACCGATTTTTAAATAATTTTTTTTGAAACAAAATGTTTTTAACCAAAGCTTTGTAAAATTTTTTGATAAATTTGTTGGATGTAAAAATATTAAAAATTTAGAGTAAAAAGTTTGTAGAAGTTTTTGTTAATCTTGTTATTAGTTTAGAACAAGATTTAATAATTCCCATCGATATTCCCTCAAATCACTTTATATTCAACGATATCTCATTTAATTTATTTGTGTAAATGTAACTGTAAATTAAGAGAATATCAAAATAGCGAAAATTCTGAGAATTTAGTGAATGCCAAGTAGCCAGTGTATTTCCTTTATTACCGCCCTAGGGAAAAATTTTGGAAATTTAAACAAAATTCTCAGCTTTAAAATCAACTCAAATGTCAGATTTGATCAAAATTACAATGTTTCTCCTCTTAATCCCCCAATTCTACAACCGAAACATAAATTTTCGTCCATCTCCAGACACAAAACAATAATCTCTTTTTTAACCAACAACCTTTATTTAATATTTAAAATCCTCAAATAAAATTGAATAAAAACCATAAAATAAGTTAAATATCATTTAATGATAACCCTTTAAACTATTCAAGTACTCTCTAGATATTCCTTTCTTAATTAACGAGGCACTAAAAGAGATTTTCCTCCATCAATTTTAAGCAATTCTCCAGTCGTGAAAGTTGCATCTCTTGCAAGATAAAGAATTCCTTTAGCAACTTCCTCAACTGTTCCACAACGTCCTAAAGCGTGTCCTGCCTTTCCACGTTCAACAAACTTTAAAAAAGAATTTTTTAGTTTTTTTTAATTTTAAATTATTTACATCTTTATATTCTTCTTCACTCATATAAGCTCGTCGATGCAAAGAGGTGACAATTAATGCTGGGCTTTAATTTTAAAAAATTGTTAACTTTAAATTTATCACAAATAAAGTGAATTCAATTGTAATGTTTTCAGTCCAAATGTAAAGTTTCAGGTTAAGGAGACTATATCGTGCTGGCGGATTCGGTCTCGAACCATCAACCCTAAAACTAAGCTTCCGCGTGGGTATCAGCAACTCTATTCACTGGCAAGAACTATTTTCTGAGTTACAATCGCGTCGAAAAAACACGTAATTATGTCAATCTTTGCCTCTGACTGTTCAGATCTGACCTTTCTTTAAGATAATTTTGCAAATTATTCTGAAAAACTATCTGAAAAAAATCGTTCGAAGAGAAAGGAAAGTCTCAAGTCGTCACATAATATTTTTAATCCCTAAATGTTTTACTTTCTCCATAAAGACTCAATTCAGAATTATTAAACAGTATTTTTGAATATCAGAAGATAACCCTTTTAAAAAATCCCAACAAACTCACTTCACAGCATTAACACGAATCCCTTTTGGAGCTAATTCCTGAGCCAAACATTCAGTAAATTTGTCCACAGCAGCTTTAGACATACAATAATAAGTGACAGCTGGGAACTATTTTTAAATAAAATTTCAACAAAAAAATATTTTTTAAGCAAACATACAGCACAAATTCCAGAAATACTGCTAACTATAAAAAAGGAATTTTTACAAAATATATTTTTAATTAAATAACCGTTAACAATACTTCCTTTAGTTTTTTCGAGATAAGGCACGGCTAGTTGAGTCAAACGAATTAAACTTTTAATTAAATTTTATTAGAAGGTTAAATCTTTACAAAAAAAACCTTTTAACATTAACTTCCATTAAATCATCCAAAACAGATAAAGGAGTAGTTTCAGCCCCTCCTCTATCTATTATTCCAGCATTATTTACCTTTAAAAATGGGGGTGTAAAGGGAAAAAGTTTAAAATAAGTTAGGTATTTGCTGTTTTAGTTAATTTAGCTGGGTCAAAGCCTGTATTCAACTAATATATCATTTCCTAGGTGGGAATAGCCGAAGTAGGCGCGCGGGCATAACAACCCAGAGCCATAACCTGTTTCAAGATTTCCTAATATTACCAGATTAATATCGAACGATTCCTCTCATCGAGCTAAAGAGATTGGTACCAAAATTGATTAGGGCTGGAAATTTTCCAGCAGGTTATGGCTTTTCGCCGTTATGGCCGTGCGCCTACTTGGGTATACCTCCCAGGTCAATAAAGAAGCTAAACTTATAAATCTTGATTTATGATTTATATAAAAATTAACTTTAATCTCATACTAAACTAGCTGAATTTTAGTATCAATTTATTTTTTAATCTAAAATTCTCTTCAATTAATTCTACTAAATCATAACCCCCCTCCCTGTCAATTAAAAATGAGTCATCATTAAAATGACATTTTGTCACATTTCCTATCTAACAAATTCTTACTAAAACATCAATTTGTCCAAATCGGTCATTAGTTTGTTTGACTATATTATCCAAAGTTTTTTCTTCCCGAACATCTCCAATAGTCGTCACAATCTAATTTTAAAGATTTTAACGATTTCAAGCATTTTTTCTTGTCAAAAACCTGTTCATTAGACAACCCAAACCCGATACATTCATCAACAACTTGTTTTAAATTAACTTCGTTTCTACCACAAAGAGAAAGTCGATAACCATTTTTAGCAAATAATAAAGCTGTAGCTTTTCCAATTCCCGAACTGGCACCTTTTTTATTTAATTTTAATTTTTTTCAATTTATTTTCCTTTTATTAACCTGTTATAATTGCAACAGTTTTAATTGTTGTCATAATTAAAATTTATTTTACTTAAATTATAAAATTTATTTAGAGACGCGGTTGAATGAAAAATAATATATTAAGTAACCGAAAAATTTATCAATAAATAGTTTCTGACTAACCAAAATACAAACGTTCATTTTGGTAATTTATTAATTGGTCCAGACACTTTAATTTTTCATTTCGTCAGAAATTGATGCGGTAATCTCTCACTTTGACTATATTTGTATGTAGAAATAGAGTAGGTCTAGGTCGATGTTTTTTAAAAAACCGAGACAGAGGATCATTGAGGCTGGAAAAGCCGAGCTCGAGGGGCAAATTTTGGCCGAGGTTTGAGGATAAACGAGGTTTTTAAAAAATTCTCGGAACCGGAACCAAAAAACACCGGAACGTTTTTGAACCGGAACTTCCGGTAAAACTCTAATATTGTCTGCTCTTGGCATCTTATATTTTTAAATTCCTTGCCTGCGCTAAGGATTTTTAAATCCTATTTAAAATCTCCTAACTTGCCGCAACTTTGGCAGTTGTACATATTAATAAGAGAGAATTATCTTTAATATGTTTCTTCTCAGAATATTCTACACGAAGTACCTAGCAAAAACTTTCAGAGATTAACCCGGCAAGAGGTTAAGTTTCTTAAAGTTTTTAACTTTGTGTTACTTCAATTTCGAGCCCTATTCATAATTCCAACGAAATTAAATGAAAATTATTTAATTTCGACAATTAAAACATCACATAATGAAATTTTAAATTTAAAACAAAATAATTGTCTAACCTCTAATTTTTATTTAAAATCTGTTAAGAAGAACTTTGTGTGTTAATTCCGTAAAAATATTTTTCTTTAAATTTTATATTTTATTTAAAAGTGCAAATAATTTGTGAGTGCATTTAATTACATTTAATATTCACGTGAAATATTCAATAATTTCCTTTTTTATTTTGATTTTCTCTTTTAAAATTTTTTCCGGCTAAAAAAGTGCTTTGCCTTTAAAAGTGCTTATTTATTTCAAAATTTATTTTGGCTAATACAAATGGGAAGTTTTTTTAAAAATTAAATTTTCTCAGAGAAATATTTTTTTAAATTTTTTTTTAAATTTTTAAATGTTTAAATTAGGGTTGGTCCCCGACCCCGACTAACCCCGACCCCGACCCCGAACCCCGACATTTTTTGACCTAAAACCCCGACCCCGACATTCCCAACCCCGAAAACCCCGACCCCCGACTTTTTCAACCCCGAAGGCTCGGGGACCAACCCTAGTTTAAATTTATTTTAATTTCTCAATGTTGAGAAAATTTCTTTATTTAAAGTGCAAATATTTCTGACAGACAGCAGTTAAAATGGCTATTAACAATTAACTATTATTCTTTTAGAGAATCCTCTGTTAATTCCCTTTTTGTGTTGATTTTTGTGAATAATTTCATAGAACCGATTTGTCAAATCTCAGAAAATAAGTATTAATTATTTCCCCACACAAAAATAAATTTCTTATTATATTCTTTAAATTTTCCAAGGCCAATAACTCACTAAATGATTAAATCGAATTTCAGAGACAAAGTTAAGACTGCTATATTCTCGATAAATTACCCTCACTCATTTAATTAACCTCTATTAAAAGCAAATACTTAACTTCATTCTCGGTTACCTCTCTTTAAATGATTAACCAATAATTACCCAGAGTAATTATTAGAGAATGTAAGACACATTTAATTACCCTCTATCATAAGTAACCCCTCAACTTCACTTTCGGTTACCTCTCTCTTCAAAATATTAAGCAATAATTACCCGGAGTAATTATTAGAAAAAGTAAGAGTAATTTAAAATTGTGTTGTGTTAACATGCACTTTTCATATGATTATTTATGAAATAATTTATTTTTGGCAATTATGCCCTTTTTATTTTTGTATTTATTTTCTTTTTATCTTCCTTTCATTACTCATTTAACATTCCTCTATTTTTAATTTAAAGGCAAAAATAAAATTTTAAAAAATATTTTTTTGTTTTAAAATGAATTTTCTTTTATTTGTTTTGTTGATTTTAACTCTTCAACAACCATATACAAAAGGTTATTTTAATTTTTTTGATCCCTTAATCCGTTAGATTAGTCTTCTTTAAAAAGAGAAAAGTCTATATAAAAATTTAACAAAAAAATTAAATACAGCGGAGGGGAATCTGAATATTCTATGATACAAATTTTTGGAATTTATTATAGTATGTAAAAAATATACTATAATAAAATTGGTCTAAGAATTCTTCTGCCCACACAGGGAACAAAATATCCACCTTCGATTTTTGTTAACTTACGGCCTAAAAATTGACGGAATTCATCATGTTTATAGACTCCATTAAGTCTAGCATCCGGAATTTGTCCTGAATCTGGCCGGGCTATAATTTGTCGACGTGACGAGAATAGTTTAGTAAGACTGATTGAAGATAGAATGATTGGAGTTTAACTAAGGTTATCGTCAGATTTTTGGGAATTTTTGGTAAAAAATACACTATAATAAATTACTTATTCACAACAACCTCCGTCCCAAAATAAATAATTAAAATATTCAGGTGTTATACAAAAATTGAAAGAAAGCGCTCCTTTGCTTGTGCCAAATGCAAAAGATGACGTTGTCTATCTTTTTATGTTTCCGCGAACAACAAGGGTAGCTAATCATTGTGTTCCTTGTTTGGCTTTAGAAGCTTGGTTGAGACTTGAAAAAATTCCTTTTCATGTGAGAAAATTAAAAATTTAATTTTTCCTCTCAAAAAAATTAAAATTTTTAAAGAGAATTAGCAACCAATTTATGCTTGGATCTAAAGAAAATGAAGTCCCGTTTATTCAATATAATGGGGAATATTTTGGAGGAATTAAAGAAATTATTTCAAAATTAAAGCCTAATAGTGAACAACAAGAAAATGAATGTTTGAGTGTTGGAGAGTCAATTAAGGATGGGGGGTCTTCTTTAGGGTTTTCATCATCCCCTTCTATAAATGATGCATCTTCTTTGGAAACTTTGTCTTCATCAAAAAGCATGGGGGCTTCGAGCAGTCCTTTACCGGTGAGTTTCTTAAATAGTTAAAAATTGAGTGGCGTATTAGACAAATGAATAGACAAATGAAATGTGGAAATACAAAAAATATTTAAATTAAAACAAAATTTGAAAAAACAAGATAAAAGTTAACAAGATAATAATATAAGACAAGCTGTTTTTGTATAAGCATGAAAGCCTGGTTAATATTACATTCCCTGGTATATAGTTTATTCCCTTTTTATGTCTATTTATCAGTTAATTTACCAAAAGCCCTAGTAAAGGCTTTCAAAAAAGCCTCAGGGTTTTCAGCAGAAGCGTCGAGCAAGTATCATTCAAGATCTCAGAAATAATTTTGATAAACTTTCAAACAAAATAAACATCTTCAGGGATCATTTCCTTCTCCATCACCTGCTTTAAATTCACCAAGTTCTTCCATTTCTTCATTCTTCTCCTCTCCATTTTCACCACGTTCGTTACAAAATTCACCAGTTGCTCATCACGCTAAAAGGCTTGCTAGAAACAAAACTTTCTCAAATTTTCTTTCTAAAGCAACATGTCTATTGCAATTAGACGAAGAAAGTGTAAAACAAAGAAAACTTGAAACTGTCAAAGGAATTGAAGATAGCATTTGGGAAATTTACAAGTAATAAACGCTTTAAGATATTAATGATATGGACATAACATCGGACCTTTATTTTGCATACATCCATGGAATTGAAAATTGGGGCCATCGCTTAGTCATTCCTCTTCTCCGATGGCCTACCATTTCAAAAATGCCCCATGAATATATGAAAATTTTTATAACTGACCCGACTTATTTTCTTAACCCATCCCATCCCTAGTATCTTTTATTGCGTTTATTGAGGAGTAAGTTCCGACAGTATAGTTTTGTCTTTATATCAATACGATCTTACTCATTCTACATTAGAAAGGTGTGTTGGAAAGTTGGAGGTTTCAAAAAAATAAAATATCTGAACTCTTAAATTAAAAATTCCAAAAAAGTTTCTACATAAAATAATAAAAAATATTTAAGAACAGTCAATTGTTTCCTGCCCGTTAGCAGGAACAAAATTAAAAAATTATTTTTTAGAATTTTACTGAAGGACCGTGTTAGCGGTGAGGGTCTAACATTTATAATGAATGATGTGGCCGTACAAGAACCGATTTTAAAATTAAAATTTGCCCAAAATCCAATACAAGAGGTAAAACCCATTGGAACTGAATTTGGTTTTGAAAATTTTGAAATAAAGGAGAATAAAGGAAAGTGTGGGGAAATTGAGGAAATTGGTGAAAATATTAAAGAATGTTTTGGACAAGAATCAAACGGTTTTCGAATGTCGTTAAATGCACATTTTTGGAGTGATTATTTTAAAATGAGTAAAAATGAAAATCGAATACATTTGAAAGAAAGTCTTGAGATGTTATCAAAATATAGGGTTAGTGGAACTGAAACTGGACATTTACCCTTAGAACCGTCGGCAAAGTCAAAGGGTGTTATGAAAGAAGAATATTTTGAATTTAATCCAAAAAATAAAAAATCTTTAAAACACCCAAAAGGTATTGGTTCTTCTTCTTCTTCGAGTGGAGCAGCGGCAAGTGCTTGGTGGGGAATGGAAAGAAAGGTTGAATTAAATGAAAGTGATTTGATTCTTTTTGAAAGTTGGATAGTTCCATTGATAAATGAAATTATGTGGAATGAATTCAGAGCAACAGAAGGAAGTTGGGAAGCTGAGGTAGTTTTTAATTATCATTGCTGATAAACTTTAAAAGCATTTTTCCTGCTTTATAGAGAGTATACTAGATCCAGCCAGATATGGAAACTCTGCCTTTTAGGGCAGGCTAAAGTAAACTACTGGAATCAAAGTTATTAAATCCAGGAACTCCGGGTGCAGTCCGATTCAGCACGTCGAGGTGCATCGAACCATCCGATAACTTTGAATTAAATAGGACCCATCCCTATAAGAGTACCTTGACCTTGCGGTACTTTTGGGTGTGCTCGTCTAAAAATTTCAAACAAAATTTAAATTTTTAGATAAAAAATTATCTAAAATCGGAAAAAATAAAAGAAAAATGGCGAGTTGGGTTGCTAACACATTCAATAAACTCTAATTTTATGAAGATTGATGGGGAGCAATTAAAATTATATTTCGACCATAAAATGGAAATAATTGTTAAACAGATTAAAGCAAGAGAACATAAAAAATACAAATTTTTGTTTGGAAATGAACCAACATTTGTAAATAATTATTATATTGCCTTTTATATTAGTTTTTAGTAGAGTTGATCAAAACGATACTGGTATCGGCCAACCCGAGACCGAGATTGACCGATACTCAAGAACCCGATACCGAGACTGATACCATCATTTTGAGCCGAGACCGATACCGAGAAACGATACTGACCGAGACTAACAGAAAATTTTTATTTTATGTCAAAAAATACGTGTAAAAATAATTTATTCATTATTTTCATCATCCAAATCATCAGATAAATACTCTTCATCATCTGGATCCGATCTGGCTTGGCAATGGACATCCGTATCCAATTATATCCTTACAACTTTTGAGGCATATCCATCCGCGGGTATCCGCGGATGGCCGAAGTCAGCGCCGAAGGCAAAATTTTTTAGAATTTTAGAAGTGCAAGTCAACAGATTTCTACCACTTTTCACGCCGCAGGCGAAAATTTGTAGTTTTGGAAGGCCAAGAAGCCAGAATTCGTCCTATTTTCTAGGGTTCAGATTTTCTAGGGTTCCCGATAATCGGTATCAGCAAAAACGGTATCGGGATTTATCTTTCGGTATCGGTATCAGGAAAATCGGTATCGGTATTCAGATAGACCGGTATAATACCGCCCGATACCGGTCGGGATCCCGATACCGCTGAACCCTACTATTTTCAGCGCCGCAGGCAAAATTTTGGAGAATTTTGGAAGGCCAATAAACCAGAATTCGTCCTATTTTCAGCGCCGCAGACAAAAATTTGAGAATTTTGGAAGGCCATGAAGCCAGATAGCTTCCAATTGTTACACTCATTTGTCAGATACGCAAACTCAATGCGCTCATCCCTGCTTCCGATCATTTTAAATCCACTTAATCCACTGGTGGGAACAACATTTGCCGAAAATCGGAAGGCTTTGTAATCAAAATCTTGAAAATTTAACGGCAGAGGGCTCGGAAAATTCAATATTTCAGGGCCGCAGACGAAAATTTATTAAAATTTGAAGGCCAAGTCACCAAATTTCTTCCGTTTTCAGCGCCGCAGGCAAAAATTTTTTTAATTTTAGAAGACCTTATTCGAAAAAATTCACTTTCTCTGTTATGGACTGATATCCGAAAAAAATTATGGACGAAAACTTGGACAATATTGATAATTTTGGTTCTTTGAGTCAGTATCGTTTCTCGCCGAGAAATGGACCGAGAATATCGGTATCGGTTTCGAGACCGAGAATGAAAAAACCGAGACCGATATTGGAAAAAAGCCGAGACTCTCGGTATCGGTCTCGTCTTGATCAACTCTAGTTTTTAGTCCCCAGGTTTTTCCTAACTTAAACCGAGTTTCGATTTTAGTTTTGTTTTTGAATTTTTGGGAATTATCCATTTTAGAGGTATTTAAATTTTGACAAAAGTGGTTGGATAATTTTTGACAAAATATATCAAAATTCTCTGTTTTAAAACAGATCCCTGGAAATCTGACTTCTGAAATAAATACTTGTAAAGAAACCGGAGCTTTTATTTGCAGTTTTTGCCACATTTTTGAGTGGCTGCGCCCTATTTTAGTGGTTTGGAAAGGGTCACCCTGAATCCCACTAAAAACACAAGGAACTATATAGGGATAAGTCCACAAAAAGTTACAAGAACGTCCCATTTTTTACTAATGTCCCGAAAAAATCAGGATTAGTATTTTTATTCTATTTATATTTAGACAGACGCTTTATTGTTCGGCCTTCTTTTCCAATTTTTTCAATTGGTCTTAAATCAGGACCTTTTGACTACATATTTCGCACCTATACCTGGCTACTATGACCCCTCTCTTTTATCATACTCTTCTGAAGAGGTAACATTTATGCGTGATTTTGTAACAACAATACAAAACGAATTGGGATGGAAAGGAAAATTTAGGCCAACTACAGAAACGACATCTTTCCTAAATTTTGAGAAGGACTACGAAGGCAAAGAAAAATATGAAGGTAGGGAAGCAGGAAATATAGAAAAGTGATTTGTGTATTCCTTTGATTTATAAACAATGATCGTCCGAAAGTCGACAACCTTATATTGAAACCGTTCATATTTTGGAAGTTGGATTTTTGTGGGAATAGAATAGTTGTGGAAAAGTTCAGTTAACTCACACCCGATGATTGGACTAATTAACGGTCTTTTCTTAATCAAGCAATCTATTCCCTAGCAATACCATCAAAGATATACCCTCGAATCTACGGATATCCCCTATGAATCCAACCAGAATGCGATTTTGTGACGATCAAAATTGTTTAGGCTATCTATCTGTGTATAAAATATAAATTGAACTAATATATTAATTTAATTTAAAATTAATATTTTTCTAGGCCCTTTCCAAATCAAGACAGATTCACTCTATTGGTTACCCAATCTTTTTAATAAAGTACATGGACCCCATGATTTTGAATTTCATCCGTATTCAAACAACAAAGAATTATTTACTTTTGTCATTAAAAAATTGAAATTACACGCCGAAAAGGAGTGGAATTGGAACACTTTAGATTTCCAAAATTTGTCAATTCCTTTAATTCATTGGGTTAGTGCTTATCTTTGTGATATTGGGAAAGAGACAGATTGTGGCAAAATACACAAAGATAAAGGAAAAATTATTTTGGATCATTTAAAAAATAAAAAATTGGAAAGAGGGGAAATTGAAGAAAATAAAATTTTAAAAGACTCGATAAATTCTTCAAAGAATTCCCAAAGTTGGGAAGAAAAATTTGATAAAAATGTTGGAAATATTGTTCATTTGGCTATTATTGAATTTAATGAGAATATTATTGCAAATAATGTTAAGGAAGCTGTGATGGAGGCAATGAAGGATTCTGAAAAGAAAATTTCTGATCCGATAATGATTCCAAAATAAT